GTCCCTAGCGGCGCCGGCTGTAGCTCCCATCACAGTGGGACGGGTGAGGTGGCGGTAGCGCGACTCAGTAGTGAAAAGAACTGTCTACAGATGGCACTGTGCCCGGTTTACCTGCGCCGTACCGTTTACCCGCTAGGGGCGTTCAAAGTCGCAGGGGACAATCACTGTACCCCGGACAATCACTGTATCCTCTACCCTACGCATCGAATTTTTCCGCGCGCTGTTTCTCCGTGACCGGAGGACGTCTCTAGGTTGTCTTCAGGATGTCTGTATTTTGTCTTCTCGATGTCTCTTTAGTGTCTCCCGGATGTCTCTATAGTGTCTCCTGGATGTCTCTATAGTGTCTCCTGTGTGTCTTCACAAAGTCTCCTCTCAGTCTCTGCGTTGTCTCCGGGCAGTCCCTATAATGTCTATCGATAGTCTGCTCGGTGTCTGCATGCTCGCTATAGGATGTCTTTTATTGGCCTTAAAAGATCTTTTCTAGAGCCATGCTAAGTGTCTCTGAGTTGCCGCAGCAAAGGCTCAGGCGTGGCTTGAGAGACATCGGCGGAGTCTGGACGGAGTCTCTCAAAGAGACATCCTAAAGGCACTTTTTTTTGTACGGGTACTTTCATAAGAATATCTGAGAACATCATTAGCTGATGCATTTGCTTTATATTGATTCGCAGGTATACACTCAACGGAACTGCGAGATGGAATGTTTGGCGAACCGCACGGTTGAAGTTTGCTCCTGCGCAGCAATTTTTATGCCAAGTATACCGAATGAATAACGATTGAATGTTATGTTATTTTTATGTTTGTGAATAAATAACTATTCTTTTGCAGTGGCAAAGCACCATAGAGTATGTGAAAATCGAGATTGTTACCTCCAAGTCATGAAAGGTGAGAGCTAAATTTTTGTTTGAGGTAGGATGAGGATGCTCTACTAATTCGAATCTCCACTAATTGTACACGTACTGCCCGTTGAAAGAAAACCTAAATTGCTCCTGCCTCTCGAGTTGTACAACCCTGGAGTACGAGACCTCCGTGAGCCACTACAACTGGAAGCGCGAGTACACCAGGAACAATTCTGCCGTCCAGGAAGTCTGGTAAATTTTATTTTCAATAAAAATATATTTTAAAAGTCGATAACTATGTCACTGAAAAGGATTTTTTTATTTCGATGTGGTTATGCCTAAACAGGGGCAACATTTCCCGTATCGCTGTCAAGATGAAGGGCTCAACTTTCACTGTCATCGGTCGTACAGAGTCGTACAGCCAACCGGAATTCCTCGGTACTAATGGAACCACATTGAAAATCCTACCTCACACGCCCCTTTTGTTGGCTATACTCACGGCTTCGCCTTTTGTCCCCCAGCCGACTGCGGCGGGCTGCTCGGCCTCTTCAGCGGCTTCAGCCTCATCACCCTCGTCGAGGCCTTCTTCCACCTGGTCGTCCGCTGGTGGTGCCACACCTTCAGCAAGAAGAAGAAGATCAGCCGCCGCAACAGTGTCAAGAAGACACCACACGAGTAAAGTTCGTCCGTAAAGGAGTAATACTACACAAAAAGCAAGAATTCCAAAACTATAATGAGTTTTATGATAATAAATTTTGAGCGCTTCAAGTTGTCTTCCTTCTTTTCGTACCCCCGACTGTCGCCAACAGGAAAAAGCCACTTTCGTTGAACTCTTGCTCGTGTTGTGAGGCCCTTAACGACGGTAATGATATGGCCACGCCCAAGGCCGAGGCCCGGCAGAGGTGTGTGCGTGAATGTCAGGGACTCTTCTTTCTTTCGTATTACGGCTGATTCCGGAACAAAATTTTCAAACAAAAAGGCTCTATTTTATTTGAGAATCTCTCGTTAAGGTTTTGAATTTTTCTGAACTAAAAAATTAAATACATTTGTCGTATAGGCATATCGTGGAATTTTTCAGGGCAATCCTCGATTCGCCCCCTCTGTCAGCCGGCCGTTAATAATACGCCTCTATCTGACCATACGGCGCCTTAGGGGTCGTCCATAAATTACGTCCGTTTCTCTCAGATTCATTCGGAGAGTTACTCAAGCTCGCCGCCTGCGGGACTCGGGGTAGGCGACCCCGCAGTACACGTATACACTGCAAGTAAGATGTAGTCTACCTATCAGGCGCTATCACTGTAATGCCAACTCTCGACCATGTTCACTTCAACTTCAAACTTCAAAAAGGGTTATTCCGACGTGTTCAACTGAACTGGAGCCACCCATTATTCGGGTCATGCCGTCAGGCCGTGTCCGGCCCATCCCCTGCGGTAGGCTAGTGCCATCCCGTCCGCCCGTCCGTGGGTTCGCAAATGCTGGCACCCTGTAATGAGGCACGCTGTTCAGTGTGTGTACATGGTCGACAGTTGGTTTCACAGTGATGGCAGCTTGAATAATAGACAACGTTACATGCATCGTTTTATACGTTTATTTCTACGCATTTCTGCACTGTTTTCGTGTATGTGTATGTACACGATGTCTTTGAGTTGGTTACCCCTCGCCCTTGGCACACAAGGGGGCCGGGCGCGGCCCCAACTGAAGGACGAACCCATCGCAATCCAGTTGTGAGGGTCGATTTTGACAGAGACTGTCAGAGACGTCGCCACACAACTTTTGCGGTAGCTCGTGTGACCGCAGTACAGTACGGTCCGCACCTTTATATGCAGGTAGGGTCATTTCATAAATACGAAACGCACAAAGGAGCCTAAAGGGGCAACACAAACTCGTCAAAACAACATTCTGTGATTCAAAAAATATCTGGCTTCTTAGCTCAGAATAGAAAATGTTGGCGATCTGACGAGCAGGCGCCATCTGCCCCGGGAAGGGGGCTGCTGGTGGGGGCGGGGCAGAAGGGAGCAAGGGGTGAAATAAAAATCGCAGTCTCCTCCCGGCAGTCACAACAGTCTAGATAGCCGCCTTAGGATGGCGGGCCGGGCGGCCCGACATGAGAAATGGGTAGGGGGCCGGCGCGCCGCCCGGCCGGCCCGAGGGGAGCGGGCGCTGGAGCTGGAAGTTAGTCGCCACATCCATAAAACTCGTATGGAGCCGGCCGGGCTGGATCGAGGATGGGCTGCTGTTTTGGCCGGCCTACAGTTCCGTGGGGGCGGCGCCCCAGGGGTCCGGAGGGGGGCGGGGGATGTTTTGGCGGGGGGCGGCGCGGGAGACGGCGCGGGGGCGGCGTGCCGCGACGCTCCGCGACGCCACCCCAGTCTGTCTGGCGCGCGCCGCGGGGGCGGTGGAGAGCACTGCATCGCGTCGCGACGGAGCACTGGAGCAGAGGGTGGCACGGCGGCGCAGACAGAGGTGAGTGAGCACGTGCACTCACGGCGAGGGAGGCGCGCCCAGCGCCATGCCGCGCGAGATTTGATGGAAGGGCCAAATTGCTGGTGGTTGGAGTAAATTAGCACTTCTCCGAAGGCTGTAAAACTCCAGTTTCATGGCGGGGCCGCTAACGCCCGGCACTAGAGCCGCGCTCGCCACCCTGACAGCGCGCCACCCTGCCGCCGGGGCCGCCGGTCCCTTTCGTTCACGGTAAAAGAAATTTCCTCCAATGGAAACGTCCGGATTCTTTTCTTAATACATTCAGCGTGACTGGGCGCACTACAGAAAATATAGACCGGTGGACAACAAGTTTAATTATACTCTTCATGATTCTTGTTGATCCAAATGATAGAGGTCTGGAAGTGGTATTTACTGTCAGTGTACTCTTGATGTACCAGGTGGGCGGAAATCCCTGTTTTTGGTTTTACACTTCTGAAATATTTCCGACTTGGTAAGTAAGTTACTCAATATTTTTTTCAGAGCCAGCAAGTGATTCGGTGTTTAATAGTGTTCCAGAGCCGATCCGGTGACGCTCGGCGATATGGCATCGCCCTTAAATCGTTCCGTGTGGGTCACGCCGGGAGGCTAGCCTCTCCTTAAACAGTCCTCGCGCGATTGCCCCTCGACTCCCTCCCTCCGGCGAGCAGAGCAGGTACGGCAATGTTCCCCGCGACGACCAACAAACGCGTTGATGAATGGGCTTGAGTCACTTGAGTTAATTAAGTCCCCGGCAGGTGCTGAAGCGCACCTGCGCGTGCCGCCGGGGCCTCCCGGTGCTGCGGCGCTGCTGCGGCGTGCCGGCCCCAGAGGAGCGCGCCGCACGCGGACCGGGCCGCCGCCGCCGTGCCCTCCTCTCCGCCGTGCGGGCACGCCTCCCCTCCGGCGCCACCGTCCGTCGTGCTGCCTACCCCGCGGGCGGGGCCCCCCAGTCCAGCAGGCACTGCCGGCGCCGAGCGTCGAGACGGGCTCCGGGACCAGCGCGCCGAGCCACCTGCGCCTGACCTGCAGGTAGTGCTGCACTCACTCGGGTAAGGCGATTTCCACTTGGTTTAGCCGGTTCAGGCTTAGAAATCATCATCAATACTGTCTTGTGTCCACGTGTACCGATGCCATAATGGGCGGAACGGGGTGGGGGAGAGGGAGTGGAGGATATGCCCACCCATCGGCTTCTTGGTACCTTGCCACAGAGTGCGTTTAGACATACCATGAAGGCTAATTAAACTACAAGTTAACTAAATAGTTGTGTGCAATATGTCTCCAATGTGTGGAGCACAGGATCAGATGCACCCTGATTGATTGAAATAGTGTTCTACTCCTCACACAGGGGTGTCGCTGTACCCCATCGGAACAAATACGTGTACGCCTTGCAGACGTGCGTTGCCCGTATTGCACTGCGCGGCTTCAGGCGTGCATTCGGGCTAATGAGGAAGTTGCCCGATAAGAGGAACAAGAAGAAGGTAGCATTGAGGAGGTGGCGTGGCGTAGTGCCGTCCCTAAACTGCCTAAACACAGCAGAAGATGAGCTACAGTCTAGCAGAGGTTAGGGTTAGGATGCGTGTCGTTAGATTTCAAACAGTTTAGAACGGGCCTACGCATCTAGCACTTTGGTACCACCTATACCAAAGTTTATTACGACAGTTGAGTCATTGTCACTGAGTTAAAATAGTACCAATGCAATATATCCGTACACTAACCTAAACAACGACACCGGGACGGTTTAGAGGATTGTATAAACTTACTTTTCCGAAGCCAAACTTTGCAGAAGCACTTTTTGACACAAGATGGTTACACCGGTCTGGTATGGACCCAATTTTTCTTTAAAGATTCTACGAAACTAGATTCATTATCACACATCCACTTGCGACAAAACACAGTATGGTCGCCCGGCGTTACGATTTGTTTCGGGACGGCGCTACGCCACGCCACCTCCTCAGTGCTACCTTCTTTTTGTTCCTCTTAACGGGCAACTTCCTCATATACGCGTGCGTTTGCTCCGACGGAGTACAGCGACCATCCTGTATTGAATTCAAGTATTACTCTTCAGTAACAGCCACTTTAATTTGTATGCATTTTATAAGTTTTTCCGTACCAGGATGTTTACTGGCTCTTTCGTTCTTTTTTGTTTTAGTCCCCTGAAAAGAATTCGGCATGGGGATTCTCCGAAGGAAAGCCACTGTTGGCTGGTAAGTATAGCTTGGATTGGACGATGGTAGCCAACTAAAAATAAGCATCCCAGTGAGAAATTTTTCCGACGATATCGTTTCGACATCGGTTTTCACGTCGTAATCGACAGAAAAGTGGGCCTGAAATCGACGGCTTTTCGACCGTTGACATCGAAACAACATCAAAACGACATCGTCTGTCGCAAAGCCGTCGATTTCAGGCCCACTTTTCTGTCGCTTACGACGTGAAAAACGATGTCGAAACGATATCGTTGGAAAAATTTCTCACTGGGATTCCGGTAAAGCTGAAATGCAAAAGGATGCGGAGAAGAAGGAAACGGAAATCGCTATGCTTAACATGGTAACTTCCGTTTGTTTGTTGCCTGCATTCTTCTGCATTTCAGCTTTACCGGAATGCTCCTACTCCCCAATATTCCGCTTTTTTTTCCAGTCTTGACCTTACGATGACAGGTCGACAATATAGTGGACTGCGCTAATTGTGTAAAATGCAGGTGGGCCGGGTGCCCTCTCCTCGGGGAGCGAGTATCCCTGCGGAGAGGGGCCGGCCGAGGTCGTGGCGCGGCCGCTTGCTTCGGGGTCAGGGGTCATCCGTAAAGGACCGCATTGCCGTGTTTGGAGAAAAGGGCCTTCCCTCTGTTCTGTGGTTTCCGGGTTTGGAGTACTCCCCCCCTCACGTCCAGTTGTGTCCGGCTCTAGGCTACCCTCCCCCTTTTGTACTTTTGTTCTTAATCATTGTAGTGGGAACGGTGTGGTTCTCCAGCGGGACTAATAGTCCCTTTGTACACCACCTAAAAGATCAATAAATTCAATTCAATTCACCCCTCCCCAATTACCCCCTCGCGAAAGGACGGTCCTATGGACGTACCCTTGTGGCTGCCTGCATTCCACACGCGCACGCAACCCCCCCATCCCCAGGGATCATTCTTTATTTAACAGGTGTAGCCAAGCGTTAACTATACAGCGATGATGAAAGTAATCAGTTAGCCTACATTACCGAATGTTGAAGCCGCTGCTCATGGTCCTGCGCGCCCTGAGCGACGAGCGGCGCTGATTCGAAGAGAACTGATTCAATAATGAAGCGATCCGATCCTCACCACCTCATTGCCGCTCTGCAGGGCGGAGGAGAACACGCCCCCCACCGTGTTGGACTCGTCTTCCAAGCCGGAGACCAAGCGCCACCCCCGCATCAGCAAGAAGGACCGGTCCATCTCCACCGAGTCCAGCGTGTACCACACGGCGATCACCGTCAAGGCCAGCTGGAACGAGTACTGCAACTCCACGGCCATCCACGGCGTGCGCTACTTCGTGGAGGAGGGCAGGTCTCCGTTTGAAAGGTGCGGGCGGGCGGGCTTCCTCGAGACGCCTTCAGCCGCAAAGCCAAACTACCCGTAATAAGTATGCTCCTCTTCCTCTGCCCTCAGAGCATTCTGGGTGCTGGCGCTGGGACTGTCGCTTGTCGGCTGCTTCTACCTCATGGTGAAGGTGTACACGAAGTGGGAGGGCTCCCCCGTCATCGTGTCCTTCGCGGAGACGGCCACGCCGATCTGGAATGTGCCCTTCCCCGCCGTGTCGGTGTGTCCAGAGACCAAGTCGCGCCAGACCAAGTTCAACTACACGGGCCTATTCCACGACCACTTGGACTACATGACCGCCATGGCCGAGGCCGCGAAGAACGGCACGAACGAGACGGAAGTGGTGGACATCAGTCCGGACGAGTAAGTCATCTCTACTCTGCTTACAAAAGACTCAAGGTGTTTGCCATTTCTGTATCGTATGTGCCTCAACTTTGATTTTAATATGTGCAGTCAAGCCAAGCTCAATACGATCTCACTTATCTGTGACCAACACGTGTTCACGCAAGGGAACACAACGATAACACCAGACGAATTGGAATATTTAAAAGAGGTGTGTATTTCTAATGAAAATAAGTAACGTAAAAAGTGTGCGCTTTCTAACACCCGTTTTGTCTCTTACCGAGGGGTAGGTGGCGCCACCGATAGACGAGGTGCTGTTCGTGTGTATGTGGGAGGGTCAGATTATGCCAAACTGTTCTGGGAGGATGGGCGAACCGCTCTTCACCCCCTTCATGTCGGACGAAGGGCTCTGCTACACCTTCAACATGCTCAGCAACCAGGAGCTCTTCACCTCTCTCGCGTGAGTGTCCGGCGCTTGTCCAGGGGAAGGTCACGCACGTAGGGGTGGCGGGTTAGGCAACTTGCGTAGCAAGAAGGTAGAATAGCGTGACACGACTTCTACTACAAGCAAATCTAGGGTACATGTGCCCGCGCCTCCGACCACCTCCTCGCCTGCTGCATGAACAGCAAGTGGGATGGACTGGTAATTTCTCACTTGGGCATTGTGCACCGTGCAGAGTGCAGTACAACGAGACGGAGAGCCGCAACTCGCTGGGTTGGAACCTGAAGGAAGGCTACCCGGAGAACGCGAGCCTCAACACGTTCCCGCGGCGCGCGCTGGGCCAGGGCGCCAAGTCGGGGCTGTCCATCCTGCTGCGCGCCTACAAGCAGGACTGCGACTACCTGTGCCGCGGCCCAGTGCAGGGCTTCAAGGTGAGATTCCAGGGAGTCTCCGGGCGGTCCAAACCAATAGAGCATTCCGGTATAAAGCTGAAATGCAGAAGAATGCGAGAAAGAAGAAAACGGAAATCGATAACATTGCGACTTCCGTTTTCTTGTTCCATGCATTCTTCTGCATTTCAGCTTTACCGGAATACTTTATAGCGGGTATGAACCGCCACCGTGTGCCTTCCCCAGGTCCTGCTGCACAACCCCGCCGAGGTGCCGCGCATCAACCAGCAGTACTTCCGCGCGCCGCTCAACCAGGAGGTGGTGGTCGTCGTCAAGCCCTCCATGATGACGACCTCGGACGGCCTGAAGGACTACGAGCCCTCGCGGCGGCAGTGCTACCTCCCCACAGAGAGGCAGCTGCGCTACTTTAAGGTGAGCGGCCCGTGAGGGAAGGGGGCGGCGGACATACCCCGCGCTAAGGTAGATACTCCACGCCGACCGGCTGGGGGAATGCCATGCCCATGGCATTCGCCAAGTCCGGCAACGGACATGGACGGCTATATCGAAGATAAACTAGTGACAAATTGTTAACAAAACGAAAATTAGTAATCGCAATTATTTAGTCATAAGTTGGTACACCAGATACCAGATAAATCATTATTCGTTTGTCACCATAAACAGACAAAAAAAAAAAATAAGACAGTTCAGATCGGTTGAAACTCGAACTTGACAAAAACGCTACTTTCTCATGCTGCTAATGATTCATCATGATAATTTTTATGTGCAGGTGTACACTCAGAAAAATTGCGAGCTGGAGTGCTCGGCCAACTACACCATGAATATGTGTAATTGCACTGCGTTCTACATGCCAAGTATGTTTAAACAAACCTTTAACAAATTGAGACACATCGAGAAGCGGCATTCTCTCTATTTTTTATGAGTTTTCAGGATCATCGGGTATTCCCATATGCGGTCCTGGTAGCAGTAACTGTGTGAAGGAGGCCTCAGGTACTTCCCCCCTCCCCCTACGACTGCGATGAAGTGCCCCCGCGCTCCGAGTCCAGCTGAGTTTGTTTTTAATGCAACTTCTTAATACATCCTTACAGAGAGCCTGGTTCTGCGCGAGATCGAGCAGGAGCTGGGGAGGCAGAAGGGCATCGTGTCGGAGGACGACTGCCACTGCATGCCGGCCTGCACCTCCCTGGAGTACGACGCCCAGACCAGCCAGGCGGACTTTGATTGGGAGAACGTGTTCCAAGCGTACCGGACGGCCACCAACGAACTGGGAGAGGGGTGAGTAGTCGTGTCAAAAAATGTAGCAGCAGCTTGACGTTACAATCGCATGCATATATGGCTGCTCTTCTCCAATGTGTCTGACGTGTCTGCTGCAGGCTTGCTCTAGCGCGCGTCTCGATCTACTTCAAGGACACGCAGTTCATCACCAGTCGCAGGAGTGAACTGTACGGCCAGACCGACTTCCTCGGTGAGTCTTTCGACGTGTGGCAAACAGAAGTAATGTGCGACCTGCGAAGCCCTCTCTCTGCAACAACGACGTGAATGTGTTGCAGCCAACTGCGGCGGCCTGCTCGGTCTGTTCAGCGGGTTCAGTTTCATCAGCCTGATCGAGATCCTGTACTACATGACCATCCGTCTGTGGTGCAACGTGCACCGCGCGAACCAGCGGCGCGCTAAGGCGCTGTCAGAGATCACCGCCCTCGGCCAACTTGCCATGGCGGGCTCCTTCGACGTGGAGAAGCAGCAGCCGCGGCCGTCCGCACCCGAGATACCAATCAAGTCCTAGGCTAGGAAACTTAATGAACCGTTTCAACGTGTCAATTAAGTAATCAATCGAATTTCGTAATTTAATCGTTTATTGTTGTCGGAAGGATTACGATGAAGCAATAGATTTTTAACATCACTTTCTTTTTCCATCCATTAAGTCGCCGCGCCAAATTAACTGAAGAACATCACGCTCATATTCCGCTTGTTATTTGTTTTCTGTTCCTCTGGAATAAAGTAAATCTTTCTCTCGCTCGTTCTACTGATGTTGCCTAGTTGTATGTAATTGCCACAACTCATTTCGCGTGACGGCTGCACGCTGCTTGCCAGTGCGTGTGGCCCGGGCCACGCCGCTCGCCCTGACGCACGCCGTGAGTCACTGGGGGGGCACCGCCCCGACACCACCACCGACACCCGCAGCCGCGACATGGCGCTTTGCAGGCGGGGACAGATCATACCCGCGAGGAATAGCACAGCCAATTTTACGACGTGGTAAAGAAATTTATTGTCCCTGGTGGGGTATATGCTTAATGCAATTCCTACCAGGTGAGTACGAACGAATCAAGCACACGCGCCACATTTTCAGAACAGAATCGAAAGTCAGGTGTGTGATTCATCCCTTATGGAACGACCCTCACGGACCCAGGCTGGACCGAGGGGTCCTTCCCTCAAAAAAATCGGTGTACACCCTCAGAAAAAATCACGAAAAAATCAGAAAAAAATCAGAAAAATAATGAAAAATCGTAAAAAAAATCAACAAAATGTCAGAGAAAATCACAAAAAATCCAGTAAAATCGAGAAAAACAGAAAAATTTGTGTACGCTAGAATTGATAGTGAAGGGTCTCTCGGGCTGGAGCCGTGCGCGTGCGTGCGAGGCGAGGGTGCCATCGTTGGTTTCTCTCTGGTTTTTGTCGCTGCTCGCCAGCTCGCTCGGCCGCTGCCATGAGGGAGAGCCCAACCATACAGCCGCACTCTTTAGCTCCAAACCTCACCCGCGCTTCTGCCGCCTTCGCCTCAGATACGCCCGGGCCTGGGTCGGGCCCCAGCCCCTCCCTCCTCTCGCCGGCCGCCCCCCGGACCGCACGTCACCACCCCGTCATAGGGTTTCCCTCCCCGGCTCTTCCCTGAGCCGTTCGCGAGAAAAAGTACGAAGCGTATACAAGTAAGTGCACGTACTGTACTTACCGCTCCCTCCGCCCATACCGTCCCTTTCTGCTTACGCTGATGACGACGGCCCGGACTTTCACGAGAGCGTGTTTGTTTGTGCACATCCACACTCACACACACACACACACACAGCACACATGCACTTGATCATGCAGGTAGCAGCAAAAAGACTATCCGTCCGGGGCTTCTTCTCTCCACCGTGTGTGTGCGAGAGAGAGGGAGAGACCGAGCGAGCAGGAAGTCATCGCGGCGGCGGGCCCGACCCGAGACCACCCCGGCTCGAAGGTGTAATGCCCATCCTAAGCTCGTCCGTCACTGCCGCCGTCGACGGGACGGGAAGAAGAAAGGCACCACACAACGGCGCGCTGCTGCTGCGGCGCTGCTGCCCCTGATCCCCGTGGCGACTCCTTGGCCCGTTTCGAGATGGAGACGAGTCCCCCGTCACCGCCGCCATCCCCGTCCCCACACACTTGCCGCGGTTATCGCATCCAACATAACAAGTGGACGCGCTGGACGCGGCTGGACCGCGGGGCGTCGTCGGCTAATGGCTCCGGAAGCGTGCGCGCCCGAAGCGCGGCGCCACGCCCCATCACTCCTGTCAAACCAAACCGACCCCACCACC